TTGAAAAAGAAATCCACACAGAAAATAAAAGAGAATAACATAATACATATTTTAAAGATAATAAGAAATATAAGCAATTAAAGCAATCAAACTTGCTGTGTATGGGATCAACTTGAGGTACAAAATCCTGCCTAATAGATTACATTTTTTATTATCTCCATTTTTTTATCCTGCCTAATAGATTACATTTTTTATTATCTCAATTTTTTTTATATAATTATGTTGCAAATTAAAGTTTGATATCATGTATGGAACACTTGAACTCCAAAAGTAGAAAAAAACATATATTAAAACTAAAAATACATTTCAATTTACTTATACAGAACCAATACTTTAAAAAATGAATATTTTTAAAGACTATTCTTCTTCTTACATAATACAACCAAAACTAAATAACCCAACACAAAACCAATTTTTTTTTTTTAATACAAAAGTGTCTTTTTATTGATTGCTTCACAGATTTAAACACTTTAAAGTGGTTGTTCATGACTGCAAGTGTGTTGAACAACGTGTAAAAAATGCCTTGCAAATATCATATTTCTCTCCAGATACATCATTTTTTTCTCCTGATTACATTTTTTTTTTAAATTCAATTACTAACAATCTACAATTAGAGGTAAATGATGATAAAGGAGTTTGATACCTTTAAAGATGGTAATGTAGCAATAATACACCTCTTGATCATGGAACACACACTATTGACTTATGATGTTTTCTCCCCGGGTTTCAGTGACAACATAGTTCTGCACACAACGCAACCTAATTGCCTTTCTGGTTTGCTGAGGATGAAGTTGCGCAGCAACAATAAACTACCCGGACATCTTCTTCATTGATCACAGAAGTATGAATTTTTTTTTTCCAGTTTGTATTTGAATAGAGGCTGAAGTCTCTAAATATGTATCTTCTATATATAAGTGTTGAACTGTAAAAAAGAAAAAAAAAAAAAACTAAACGTTGTTGTTTATCATGGGCGGGAATTTCACCAAAATCTATTTGACTTTATTATAGTTAGGATAATAAATATTAATATTTTATTCGTCAATACTTTCACATGAAACATGTAGGGAAAAACTACCACTGTAAAATATCAGCATGCGTTTGTAAGATCAAGAGTTCATAGTACAATTAAGATTCGAGTCATATACACAACAAGGAAAATCCGCAGCTTCCTACACCACAATCTCATTGCATGACACTGTCATCTATGCTACCAACAGTAACCAATTGCAAATAACACACTACCAAAAAAAAAAAAGGTGACAAATAGTGAAGATGAATACAATGACAATGCTAATCAAAAGAGAATTAAGAATACTTAAAAAAATTCAAACCAAAAGTAGTATTTATTTAGACTATCTTTTTTAGACTATCAATTTTACAAAGTTGCAAACATTTATTTTAGTGAAAATTATCATGAATCTCGTATATTATCTTGCATTTATATACTTTGAGTTAAATATTTAAATAAACAAATTCGACATTCAATTACCTATGTATGAACTTCTTCTATATAATCTTGCATTGATATACTTTCAAATACTTATTTAAATATAAACATTAGACATTAACTCATTCGCACAATACTCGTGTAAAACTAGTTATCTCTATCTTCTTTATCTTTATCTTTATCTTTATCTTTTCTTTATATATAATCTTTATATATAATAAAGCAAAATCCTAGCTATCAAAATTTCCCTCCAAAAGTGTAAATGGGTTTTGGGTAAATGGGCTGCAGCAATAGGATAGGTTTGGCCCAAAATTTAAAAAAAAAAATGTAATTTGCAATTATATATTGGCCCAACATTTATTATATTAAAATTTTTTTAAAAATGTAATTATATATATATATATATATATATATATATATATATATATATATATATAATTAGGTTCTGGTGCGGTTGTGCGATTTAATCTGGTCCATTCATCTCGCTTAAATCAACGTCCAGGATTACCAAAGTTAAAAAAACGCGGTGGTAATTTTGTAATTTTTGCATCTTGGTCAAAATTAAGGTGAACGGATCTGTGATTAATGTGCGTGAGTTTTGTATATAAGATGCGTGAGGTTTGTGCTTAATGTGCGTGGGTTTGTGCTTAACGTGAGTAATTGTTAAAACTTAAAGTCTGTGAGTTAATACTTAAAGTGCGTGAGTTTTGTGCTTAATGTGCGTGAGTTTGTGCTTAATGTCAGTAGTTGTCGAAACTTAAAGTCTGTGAGTTAATATTTAAAGTGCGTGGGTTTTGTGCTTAATGTGCATGAGGTTGTGCTTAATGTGTGTGAGTTTTGTACTTAATGTGCGTGCGTTTGTGCTTAAGATCTAACACTTAAGGTGCGTGTTTCTATCACTTAAGGTGCGCCATTTTTAGCTTATGCTTCTTTCTTCCAGACACGCTTTTTTTTTTTATATATAATTTTTATTGATTTGAGCCGTTGATCTAAATTTGACAAACGGCTCAGATCTAACTGCACAGGAAGCTATACCCGCACCTGAACCCTTCTCTATATATATATATATATATATGTGTGTGTGTGTGTGTGTGTGTGTGTGTGTGTGTGTGTGTGTGTGTGTGTGTGTGTGTGTGTGTGTGTGTGTGAAAGAAATTGTTGAGTTTATACAACACAAGATGCAAGATAAAAAATACATACAAATTTATAAATTCATGTAATCATGAATTAATTTCTACGAGTATTATATATAATAAGATAAGATTTTTATTTTAATTACAAATATTTATATTAATAATTAAAAATCAAATCAAAATAATTATTAAATTAATAATTATATATATAAATGAATAAATTAAAGCTCATATCACATTTTTATATATAAAATAAAATCACCCAAACCTTTTTGGGAATAAAAATAGGAAAAAAGTTCTCGCCTGTAAAAAACGATTGCGTTTGGGTAATTCTATTCACACCCCCCTTTTTACTATTTGCACCACCTACATAATAGGTCAAACTACTTTATAGGTGGTGCTAACTACAAAATGCTATTTACACCACATCATTTAATGTGGTCAAAAGACTAATATTTATTATATATATATATATATATATATATATATATATATATATATATATATATATTTACAATTAAATTATTAATTAAAAAAAAAAAACTTAGCGTCACCTTTTCCGGTGAGAAGGCAGCCCAGTGGGTCGCCTTCTCACCGGAGAAGGCGACCCAGGTAGTTGGGTAGAAACTACCTGGGTTGCCTTCTCCGGTGAGAAGGCAACCCACTGGGCTGCCTTCTCACCGGAGAAGGTGACCGGGGAGTTTTTTTTTTTTTTTTTTTTTTTTTTTTTTTTTTTTTTTAATGAATTAAATTTTGAATTAATTAATTATTATTTAAATTTAATAAATGTGGTTTGAATAAGGGGGTGTAAATAGCATTTTGACCACCCATTAGGCTATTTGCACCACCTATGTATTTATTATAAATTTTCACCTTTTTAGATTTTCAATGTACTTTATACCTCATTTTAGTCAAAGGGGGTCCAAATAGCAACACCCTTGCGTTTTGTATGCAAAGGAGATTTTATCAATTTTGTTAAAAATCCCGTCATTTAAGAAGTATAAACATTTCGACTTTTGAAATTTTGTCATCCAACCTTTGATTATCCGAGTTGATTACCATTAATTCGCGTACTTATTTACAGTCAGTCTCTTTGGTTTCCCAAACAATGACATTAATTACCATATGTAAACAATGTTTCCTTACAATCTATAAATACATATGAATTCATATCAAATCAAATACAATACAAACATCGGGTATTACAGATTGTTTACAGTACAAACACAATCTCAATTAAGCATTGAACCTCTCTACATTAGGTGTTTGCGTACATATGAAATCGGAGATAGGAAGGGCAGCGAAACGATAAAGGGCAAGGAGTATGTTTCATGACCAAGAGGTATGCATATAAACATAGTAGATTATGTATTCTATCAGCGAGTATCAGCATGAATGAATTTTTATTTGAATGTATTTTTTTTTTTTTTTTACATTCCAGTATTACAGAGAAGCTTTTTGCATTCCAGTACTTTTTTTTTTTTTTAAATGTTCTGTTCTATTTGTGGTTGTTGGTATGGGGCAATTATGCCATGGACGATATTCAAGGTTATCATCATATACACTATTATATATTGTTGGTTTTAATGCTTTTTATACCCTTACAATGGGTCTATTTCGTTTCAGTATATTTTTTTATATGTATTGACTCATGCCTATTTCATTATATGTTTGTGTTTTTTTTTTTATAATAATTATAGGTATCACCAGATTTAATGAGTCATTATCTGAGGCTAGCCTGGAAGACAAGTTGGAGCAGTACATCATGTATAGTTGGTGTTATTGACTCCTTAGATCTTTGGGATTAATATGTGATGGCTTCTTATGTTTTTAATAATGTTATGTTAAGTTCAACTTTGTATACATTTAATTTTCAGTAGCAATCCCAGATGTCAACATACATTGTATTGTTGGTTTTAATGCTTTTTATAACCTTATAGTAGCTCTATTTGGTTTCAGTATATTTTTCATTTATGTGTATTGACTCATGCGCTTTTTCATTATATGTTTTTTTTTTTAATAATAATTGCAGGTATCAAGAGATTTAGTCAACTATTATTAGAAGCTTTAGTCTAGAAACCAAGTTAAAGCTGTTGTTATTGACTCCTCAGGTCTTTGGGATTAAATATGTCATGGCTTCTTATATTATTTTAGGTTGCAAACTTTTTATACATTTAATTTTCACCACCAATCCCAAATGTCAACATACAGTGTTTCTGGATGGAACTAATATAAAAATAAACTTTTAAATGAACATTAATAACATAATTCAAATTCTTAAAAATAAAATATTACTTGGTACATTGTATATTTATATTTTTAATAAAATTATATCTACTATCATAACATTAAAACAATACTTCTAAAATTGTGTCTGTACATCGCACGAGAAAATACTAGTTAATATAATACATGATGAATGTTAAGTTACTCCAACATATATATTTTGACTTCACACATCATACCCAACAACACAAATAGAGTGTAATTTTCTAACGTACACCCAAAAATTATAATTAAACATCAAACAAAAAAAAAAAAAACAAAGTAAATATATTCAATTCCCTGCAGTGATCTTCAATTCATTGGCATTTGGGGTTAGTGCAGTGGTTAGGGCAGGTGAGCGGAGCACGGTCTCTATCTGCAAGTTGAAATTAGAAGGCTGGCGCGTCCGCCGCCGATCTCTTCTTAATTGGTAAACTCCAACGTGTACAATTAAAGCCACAGCAAACATGCAGTAAATAACATCCGACAACACAAAAGGTAGTTTATGCTTGTCTAATATGTATCGCAGCACTGTGATGTAGCTACCCGACATCGCTAGCAATGTGAACTGTAATAACACACCACTCCCAAAATCACGGGGGAGTACGAATAGTATCAATGCTAAAGAGAGGTTCAACGCCAATGTGTTCATAGGCACAAACACATTGAATAGGCTGGCACGGCTTGACATTGATAATCCGAAGAAATTGTACTCCAAATCGATTTTGGGTGTTGTGGGATCGGGGGTTTCTGGTGGCGCGATGCCGCTAGGGGGTTGGAGGGCGACTTGGTAGGCGGCCGTGGCCACCAGCGTCGCCACCACTAACATCATGTTGCGCTTTTCCATGGACATGCCGGTGTGCGCGCACACAATAACACGGATGAATTTTTGCACAAATGTCTCTTGGGACATGAAGAATGTGCGGCGATGTTGGTTTGATATGTCTTCTTCTTTCTCTTGTTTGTTTTCTTTGGTTAGAGACACAAACCCCTTTAGTCTTCTCATAACCTGCATGCATATATGTAAGGAACCATATATATATATATATATATATATATATATATATATATATATATATATATATATATATATATAATCAAATGAAACAGCATCTTCCCATGAGACTATGAGACGCAACATGAATGCATACAGTCTAGTAGAGAAATGCACACAGACTAGAATGTGTACAATTTGCCCAACATGAGTGCACACAATATAGTGTATGTGCATTTATGTTGTGTCTCATAGTCTTCGGGACATGGCATGTCCCACTACAACATACAAAACTTCATTGGACAGAGACGAGATGAGCATGAACAAAATAAAAGAATCGTAATGGACCAAATTTTTGACTGCATGATTGGCTACGACAAAACACTTGTCCAGAACCTTAATAAATGGAAAAAAAAAAAAAAGAATTATCAACGAAAAAATTGCTAAAAGAACCGAACATGAAAGTTGTTTCCAATGAGACGGTTGTTCCCGTAATCAGGTAATGTGTTATCAATGTATCCACTGAGATTTTGATCACAAAAAAAAAAAAAAAACAAGGAACAAGTTTAGTCTTTTAGAACATATAATTTGAGGAAGTAAGTTTAATAGAGATAAAATGATTATTGTTAGTATTTATCGAAGTTGTGGTTGGATAGATTATATCAGAGATGGTGCTAGAAGATGAGGTGCTGTCACTGGCGAAATTAAAAGTAGTAAAAACAGTACAGTTTAAGGTACATAATTAAACGTTACCTGAGTTTGATGAGTGAGCGCAGCCAAATGCATCAAATTGTTGCCATCAATATCCTGCTTCTCCAACACAGAATTCTGCCCAGTCCTACACACCCAACCAAACAGCACTTTAAAAGCATCCACACTCTTCGAAGCCACCGCAATATGCAGCGGGGTTTTGCCTTCAACCGTCACGTCCGTAACGGCTTCAGGGCATGCCCAAACAAAATCAATCAACAGATCCACTTTCTTCTTCACATCACCACTGTCGTCGCCGTTACCGATAACGGAGACCAAGGAGTGCATCGCCGTCATCTTTCCCCTCCCCGCCACTCGAATCAGCCCACCCTCCAGCTCTATCATCTCCCTCGCGGTTTCCAGATGCCCGTTTTGCACAGCCAGGTGCAACGGGCTTAGCCCCTCACGGTTCAGCTTCCGGGAAAAAGACGGCATTAAGCTCATCATTTCCGCCACGAAAATGGCGTTTCCATTTGCCGCCGCCACGTGCAGCGGCGTGTCTGCGAATGGGGTGTCCTCGATTTCTTTGAGGATCTTTGGGTTTTCTGGGATTATTGTTTCGTACAGAAGATCTACGTTGTTTTCTTTGGCTGCGGTTTCCAAAAGGGACAACATTTTGTTCTTTTGTGACTCCGAAATGGATAACATTGTTACTGTTCATGAGTGCAAAAGAGCAAAGCTCAGCTCTGCTCTTACTGGCAATATATAGGTGGCCGGACGACACACGTGGAGGAGAAGAACACATGACAGTAATGCCCCTCATTTAGTGTTTTCCCACCCTCCAAGCTAGGAATCACATAATTTGTAAAGAAAATTTGACCGAACAATCTTTTACGGGTGGTTTGGTTGGAGCAAATTATAATTTTATTTTCACATAATTTTAAACGTAAGTAAATTTCTTTGTTTGGTTGGAGTCTAAATAAAATTATAATTGCGTAAAATTAAAATTCTTTGACGGGGTGTTAGGTTTGAGAGATGGAATTTAATAAGAAAAGAATTATAATTCCATGGAAGATGAATACTATGGAATACAATTGTAATTTAAATTTTAATATTTGATTTGCAGGAATAAAATTACTGAAAATTTCAATTACAATATTTGATATACATACAAATTGAAAGAGAATAAGTAGTATGAAGTTTAAAATATCCTTGTGTAATAATAATTCGTTTAAATAACTTCTAACAAATGCGTCTTTGCACAAAATATCAAGTCAAATTTTACAGTCATAGTTTTTTTTTTTTTTTTTTTTTTTAATACAAGGGAATGTGGTCACCTAAACTACTAATCCTTTTCACTAAAGCTCGAACATATCACCTCTCACATAAGAGAGCAACCGGATACTATTAGATCACAAAGCCCTTAGTATTTAGTTTTTTTTTTCTTTAAATATTCTTATTTGCCCTTTTACTTTATTTATTTATTTTGCAATAAAGTCCTTTTCTTTTTCTTCTTTTATTATTCTTTCTTTTTGGTCCACATTCCCCTCCCCTTCATCTTTATTCTTTATCTTCAAAATCTCTTTTTCCTAAATTCTGCTGGAGGATGTGTTCAATTATTAACCAACTTTCTGTAATCAGGTTGGTCTCCAGAACCAGAATATCTCAGTCCTTGTAAATTGTAATTAATTAATTAATTCCTTATTTTATTTTTTAACCTAAATTAAATGAACTTTTCCCAGAGTTGGGGAAAATATTCTACCTTATCCGGCCTCTTATTGCCTCGCACGTCTAAAAGCATAATTTTCGATCTTATAAAAAATACTAGTTTTCATTGGGCAAATGAGATAATGCCCAATTATTATTTTTAAATTAGTAATTCAAAATATATCAATACAAGATTATATAGGAGATTTCATGCATAGGTAATTGAATATTGAATTTGTCTATTTAACTTAATAATTAATAATTCAAAGTATATAAATGCAAAATAATATATGAGAGATTGATTATAATTGTCACTAAAATAAATGTTTGCAGTTTTATAATAACGTTAGTCTAAATACTTAGTATAAGAATGATAGTTTAAATAAATAATATTTTTTGTTTAAATTTCTCTAAGTCTTCTTAATTCTCTTTTGGATAGCATTGTTGTTGTCTTCATCTTCAATACTTGTTATCTTATTTTTTATTAGTAGTGTGTCATGTGCAATTGGGTTACTAGTGGTAGCATAGATATTGTTATAATAATATAGTAAAAGTAACTTACAAATTTCTTCAAAAATTTTCATACATTGATAAAATTATGAGAATAATGTGTAAACTTGTTCGATTAGAGTCATTAGAATGTCAAGATTATCAATTCTATTTTTCACCTTTTGTTCATTTTGCATTGAAGGTAAAGTTATGAACAAGAATACTTTAAGTACATTTTTAGTAAATAATTTATTCTTTAAGCCTTCCGAAATAAGTTTCAAAACTATTCATTTTCACACACACACACAGAATTAAGTTCCCGTGTGATTGTACAGTTAAATTTGAGCCATTGATCTTGTTAACGTTCAGGATTAACAATGATTAAAAAACGCAGTGACATTTTGATCTTTTTGCATCTAGGTCAAATTTAAGGTGTGTTGTTTTTGTATTGTGTGGCTTAAGGTGCGTTAGTTGTTGAAAATTTAAGTGCGTCGATCTAAAGCTTTAGGTGCGTGGTTTTTCTTCTTAAGGTGCGTGGTGTGTGCTTTAGGTACGATGCGTCAGTTGTTGAACTTATGGTGCATCGGCCTAAAGCTTTAGGTGCGTTGTTTTCCTTTTTAAGATGCGTGATTTGTATGTTTAAGGTGCCTCAGTTGTTGAAACTTAAGGTGCGTCATTTTAAAACTTTGGGTGTGTGATTTGTGTTCTTAAGGTGTGCCATTTTAATGTTTAAGGGGCATCTTTTTGTGTTAACCGCACAGGAAGTTATCTTCGGCAACCATGGCGATATAGAGACCTTTCATAAGAAACAGTAAGTTTTGATGATTTTATACGGGTAAAAAACAATTTACAGATCAAGATCTAAACCCTAAGTTTTTTTGTTTATTTACAGATCTAACTACTACGGCAAAAAAAGAAGGAATACAACTCAGTATCTACTGTAGAAACATTCCTAAGTGCACATGCAGACGGTTGACGAAGTATAAAATCTTCGTCGTCCATGGTTGATACAGACAGCGTTCTTAAGATCCGATAAGTTCTAATTATTTTTTACCCTAACTTTTAAATTTACAGGTCTAACTACTTTCATCTAAAAAATCAAAGGAATACATACAGATAAAGATGACTACTGGAAACAACTCATTCGCCGTACATGCAGAATGTTGAGCAAGTATAAAACGTTACTGTTAAAGATAAGTAGACTAAAAAACAAAAAAAAAAATAAAATATTTTCTTATATCTATAACTGTGATTTGTATTCTTATATTCTCTGTATGAAATATACAAATAAAATGGGATGTAGTTCCTGTTTCTACTTTGTTGTATGTAATTAATTACAAGCTTTACCTTAGAGACTTTTAATCTTGTAAAAAAATTACTATTTATTTTGTTCTTTACTTTGGAAGGAGGAACAGAGATAGCAATCAATGTATTGATCTTTCTTATTCAAATTGAAATTTAGGCCAAGAAGACATAGAAAGAGTAATCACTGAGCCGGATTGAGCAGTTGACTAAAGAAGCTGAGCCAAGTAAACCAAAGCTTCAAAGATGGCTGGATAAATTTGGGGAGCAGTATGGCAAGGTTGTGGTATTTCTGTCAATTTCAGTTGCTGTGATTGGAACTTTTATTTTCAGGAGGCCCTTCTTTAGTACCTCAAGTAAAAATCACTCACTTGCTAAGGTTCTTTTGCAACACTCTATTCATCAGCCTTTCTGCATCCAGCACACAATATTTGAAAATGGTGCGTCGACCTAAAGCTTTAGGTGCGTTGTTTTCCTTTTTAAGGTGCATGATTTGTATGTTTAAGGTGCCTCAGTTGTTGAAACTTAAGGCACGTCATTTTAAAACTTTAGGTGTGTGGTTTGTGTTCTTAAGGTCCATTTTTTTATGTTAACCGCACGGGAAGTTATCTTCGCACCTGATTCAGTATCTATATATATATATATATATATATATATATATATATATATATATATATATATATATATATATATCGCAGAGTTCAGGTGCGGCCGCACCAATAATTATGCAAATATGCACCAACAATATTAGGAAATGCACAACAAAAAAATACAAAAATATGCATCATTAGGTTCGCATCACAAAAAGCGCACCATTAGGTATGCATATAAGCACCACAAAGTGTTTGGAAATGCACAATTAGATTTGAGGAGGTATTGGGTATTTTTTTTTAGGTGTGTTGTGCATTTTTGGTGTATTTGTGCATTTCATTGTCGTGCATTTTCCTAACATTATTAGTGCCTTTGTTAAAATTATTGGTGCTTTTTTCAAGAGGCCGCACTAACCACATACGCGATCCAATTTGAGCATATATATATATATATATATATATATATATATATATATATATATATATATATATATATATATATATATATATATATATTTGTGTGTGTGTGTGTGTGTGTGTGTGTGTGCGGCTTGGTGAAAAAAATAAATATTTTTATTCTTTTTGTTAGAATACTGATCTCTAATTGACAATAATCGATCCTAGTTCCTACTTCCTAGACTACAATGTTGAGTTATTAAAATGGTTGCACGTGTATGAGTAAATTAATTAGATAATTATTTGATGTGAAAATTATTGTCTGATATGAATGTTATGATATTGAAATGTGAACATAAGTAAAGAGGCCGGCCATGTGTTTCATTTGTGTATGGGAAAACACTATAATGTATTTTTATTGTGTCCTCTCAATTTATATTTTTATACATAAAATTTTAATATAGACACTTGTATTAGAGTTTACATGAAAAAAATAACTTATCAGAATTCGCCACATCAAGTAGTAAAATTTAGAGAGTAAAATTAGGAAGTACATGTAGTAAAACTCTTTGTGTATGTGTGTACTAAATAAAATGTTCTCTTGAGACATGGGAGAAAGGAAGGTGTGGATTCGCAAGAGGTGGTTGACTGGATTAACAAATACATTGAGACTAGAGGCCCATTTGAAGTATGATATAGGATTGCAAACGATAGTTCCAAAGGAATTGAGAGGTTAAAATTTCTCATATTCCGATAGTGCTCAACAAAGTTGCTGATTAGATGGCTAAGCTTGCTTTGAAACGTTGTTGTGGCTGGATTGAGATCATAGAAACACTCGGAAAAATGTTAGAGCAAGTAGAGATTAATAAAGTGCACGTCGCTCTTCGTAAAATGAGCTAAGAGAACTAGTTTTTTTTTTTAGCTTGGGTATCTCCCTTCCATCTTTCAAACAAAAAAAAAAAAAAAAAAAAAAAGATGTTCTTTCTCTTCTTAAAAGTGAATCACAAATCACAAGCAACCCCAAGTATATATGTGGTTCAACATTTGTTTGTATTTAATAAAATATATTTTGTGAATATTAATTCGACAAAATTCAGTATAAAATGTTTAAAATCGTGAAATGTCCATATAAAAGTATACTCTAAATTTGATCTCAATTAACGATTGTCAATTGTATGAAATAAATATAATTTTCCCTGATCCGATTATTCTAAAGTTAGTTAGCGGGAAACATGGACCCGTCATAGGTAATGAAGACTCCTTGTGTATAGAGTATACAGGTAAGAGATAGCATAGGGAAACCTAATGTATCAAAAAAATAATAAATATAACAAAAAAAATTGATTTGTTTTTTATATATATAAAAAATTAACTATGACAAAACTTCGGTGGCAAAATATTTGGCGTTGAGTGAAAGGTAATTGAAATTATATACTTATGAATAAAATGTTAAACATAGATGCAAAGTTGAGATGGCCGAGTTGGTCTAAGGCGCCAGATTAAGGTTCTGGTCCGAAAGGGCGTGGGTTCAAATCCCACTCTCAACAATTCGTTTTCGAATTCACCGTTTTACCCCCGCACATTCCTTTTTTCCGGTTTCTACCCCTTTCCCTCCAAATTCCTCTCTACCATTTTGTGAAACTCAGAAAGCGATCGAGGGTTGGAGTAAATGGCGCAAGCGGCGAGGCTGAACCTTCGAATGCAAAGGGAGCTGAAGCTCCTCCTCTCCGACCCGCCTCACGGCGCCTCTTTTCCTTCTCTTTCGTCTTCTTCCTCGCCCTCTCTCTCCTCCATTGTCGCCCGTAAGTCTTATCTTACTACTATATATGTGTGTGTTTATGGCGCCAGTGTAACAAGTTTTCTACGGATTTTGCAGAAATTGAAGGCCCAGAAGCTACTGTGTATGCTAACGGGATATTTAAGCTCAAAATTCAAATTCCTGAAAGGTAATTTTATGAACAAATTTTGATAACCCTGGAGCTCTAAGTAACTGAATTAGGTTTAGTCGATATATGTGTTCCTTGCGATTTCTTACATTGATTTTGATTTTGATTTTAATTTCCCCTTTTATCGGCTTTGAATTTTGAGATTTTGTTTCATTTTAGGTATCCTTTTCAGCCTCCAGTTGTGACTTTCCTCACACCAATATATCATCCCAATATCGACAATGGAGGGCGCATTTGCTTGGATATTCTCAATCTTCCTCCAAAGGTTAACCCTTTTTCAATAATCATATATTCCTTTTTAAATTCTAATTCACTGATTCTACCACGATGCTATGAGATATGCATACTTGTTTATGGATGATTTAATTTCTTTGTAGATGAGAACTATTCTAAAAGCAACTGATGCTAATGTAACATTGTGGGGTTTGAAGATTTATTTTATTCGTTATTCTCTAGCATTTTAATTAATTGTTTCAATTCAAGTAGGGCGCGTGGCAGCCATCCTTGAATATCTCGACTGTTTTAACGAGCATTGGATTGTTGTTAAGCGAACCGAACCCTGATGATGGCTTAATGCATGATGCGGTAAGTATAAATTTTTGGTTGGAAAATGATGAATGGAGGATGGTGCCTACTAGATTTTGACTGTGATTTAGGGATTGTGTGCAGAGTGAGGAATATAAGTACAATAGACAAGCTTTTAATCAGAAGGCGAGATCCATGACAGAAAAGTTTGCTAGGGCACAAGCAAGTGAAGATGCTGCTTCTGTTTCTCACCAAGAAATTCAAACTCGAATTAATCCTGACATGGAAAAAGTAAAGTTTACTGCTTGGTTGGTTTTTGTTATGCCCATTTGTAAGCTTTTTGATGTTTATTTTCCACCAGCTGCAGGTTGAGAATAAGGGACCAGATGCTTCAAAATCTAATGCAATTCAGTGCTTTCTAAGCCAAAATAGATTATGTGGAGTTAGCAGAAAGTTGTCTCTGGATTCTTCTGGATCAAATCAACATAGAATTAGTACTGAGAGAGTAACTGGATTGCCTGTTCCTTGTCTCTCCGACAATCAGCTTGAAGCTGGGGCGTTGAAGTACTATGGAGACACTACTAAGGAAGAAAATGGAATCCCTGCTCATTGTCTCTTAGACAATCATATTGAAGCTGGAGGGTCAAAGCAGAAGAGAGATTCTGCTAAGGGAGTTATTGAAGCTGGAGGATTGAACAAAAAGGCAGTAGGATTATCCAGTGAGTATGAGAAGTTATGGGGGACTGAGCTGAATATGTCACCAGAATTTTCAGGTGATGCAAGAAATTCCAATAATAAGGATAATCTGATGCCCGATCAATGTGCATCCCATCAGGAGGCTCAAAGCAGCTCTGCTGACCCCCTTACTCGAGATAGCAGCAATACGGAGAAACATGCCAATCCCAGTGGTAGTGAATTTGGAAAGGACAGTGTGGATATAAGTTTGAAGCAGAAGCAGTCACTACAGTATGATGATTCTGAACAGAAGAGTGGCAAGCAACTGCATACCATCCCCCATCCATCTGTACCCCATCAGTTTCCTTCCTCTGCTTCATGTCATAGTCTCCTATTGCCAGAAGGCCCAGAAACCACTGGTCATGGCTGCATAGACACTGTTGATAGAACCTTAAACAAATTTGCCACCACAAAGCACAAAAAGTTAGGTTTAGCTGGCAGGAAAATGTCTTTGGGATCATTGGGTTCATCTCAGAGAAATAACAAGGAGAATTTAATTTCTCTCAACAACGTTGCTGATTCTAAGGCTAATTTGCATTCTAAACCCTCACCCTTGCATGCAATGTCGGAAGCTGGTGATTTTGATGGGCACGTGGGAAAGTATTCTGCAAAGGTAGTTCAAAAGAATCTGGGTGTGAGGCTGCAAAGGCAACCTTTGCAACCTATGGTTCATGTTCAAGAAAGTAACAATCATCATTTTCTGTTGGATCAGAAGCAGCCTAAACAAGACCATGAGGAAAAACTAGAAACAAATATTAAGGAACATGAAATAGGATTACCAATACCTGAATCAGTGATTGTATTGGATAGTGATGATAGTGAAGACGAAAGGAGCTTGCCTACGAGGTCTAGATTGTCACTTGCAAGAAAATGTTTGCCTGGGAAGCGAAAAGCTAAAGCATAGAATTTTCCATTGTGTGGATGGTTAAGAAGCATAATCAGTACATGGATCCATAATCTGTGGGGGAGAAATATTTTGTTGACTAATTGCTGCATCGAATGACAGCAAGCTTTTAACATCACTGCAGCTGTATGTCCTGGATAACTAGATTTTCAGGCTATCTGGTTAGTCTTTCAATGTTTTACATGTTGCTACTCATGCTTCTTATCCATTCAATACTGAGTTAAACTTTTTGTTCATTTTGTGTTTAAGCCAAAAAAAAAAAAGGAATATGTTTCGCATATAAAGTTGATATTTTGAGGGTTTCCTTTGAATTAAGTATTCTCTTCTCTAAATCTCAAATCAAGGCCATGCACAACAGGTTTGATTATCAATCCAGGGGGGCAGGAAAGGCCGAAAGGGGTTTTCTAATGCTTTCGGGATGGTGGTTGAAGAAGTGAAAGAACTTGCATCTACGATTTATAGTTTGAAGTTCATATTTGTTAAAAGATCTGCGAACCGAGCTGTCCATGTTTTGACGTTAGAGTCTCGTTCTATGTCAGGCTATATGGAGTGGTTGTCTACCTCTCATGTTTTGTTCCTTGATAATGTTAATGAATGAAGTATGTTTTTGGTTCTCAAAAAAATACATTTTTCTTATATTCCTTAAATATATAGCTTATATTAAAGAATATATTTTTGTGGGGTTAATAACTTAATATGTTTTGGTTTAATACAAAAATGTATTTCATGGTTTATGTTCAGGTAAGAACTTACTTTATTATGTGAACTTGAGAATCTATGCACACCCTTGATGTTGCATCATGCATAGGCTCAAAACATGGCGCATGGAAAAAGTCAACCCAAGATGCGGTGCACAATGTGTGTATTGTGTTTGCAGTGCAGTGCATTGCATTCCAACCCAAGATGCGGTGCACAATGTGTGTATTGTGTTTGCAGTGCAGTGCATTGCATTATAGATTGACATGCATCCTCCACTAATCAAGATAAATGGCGCAAAGTGATTCTCAGGTTCACATATTAATATAACTTCTCATATGAACCTATATATACAATAGGGAATATACTTTAGGTGTACTGTCCTACACATTTAATACATCATTCAATCATTAATTCCATTTAAAATAAGTTTGTGGTGTATTTATAAGCCCACTAAATTACAAGTGATAGAAAAAGGATGCCTATATAAAGGCCATTCAATCATTAATTCCATTTAAAATGAGTTGATGGGGTATTTTAAAACCCACTAAATTACAAGTGATAGAAAAAGGATGCCATTAAATAAGAGGGGCCATTTTCTGCTCTCTTCTCCTATCCTCTATAGCTAGAATATTTTCTCTACAACACACAACCAATGAATAAAAGACTTCCTATTATCTAATTTCCTTCTTGTTCTTGCTAGATTCATACATACAAACATAGTACATGAATACTTCCAACCAATTGGTTTTTTTTCAAATGACACCGTCCATGGAGACCGACTAGAAGCCGTATTCCTCAACCTAAAAAAATTGAGGATATATAAATTTTATAAATATATATATTTTTGTCTTTTTACATTTTTCAATCTACTCAACAATTAATTTACTAAACATTTTAAATCTCAGTTAACTAATTTAATAACTATTAGTTTTTAGTTTTTAATTTTTCAGTTTTTAGCTCATTTTACTTATTGTTTTGTTCAATTATGCCACTGAACTTAAAAATGTGCAATTAATAAATTAAACAAGTAAAATATGTGGAATTGAGTCATCTTTCTTGGTATAATTCCATCATATTAATTACATGGTATATATTTAGAATTGCCTTTTTATTTGTCATACTCGTTGTGATAAAAGATTAAAATGTATTAAATTGCATTAAAAAAATCATAAAAATGTCTCAATTGCACATATTTTGCTTGTTTGATGATTTGATTATGCACTTTTAAGTTAAATGACTCAATTACACAAAACCAATACATTTAGTGACCTATTTAACACTTGTTACTTCTTTTTTTTAAAGGAAAATTGTAATTTATGCTCCTCACAAATATGTCAATTATCAATGTCACCATTGAATTATTAGTGGTGTAAATATTGTTCTTGAATTTTCAAAACGTGGCATATATTACTCTTCCACTGAATGATTAGTGGTGTAAATGTGGTATCCACTGTTTTCTTTGCTCGAAGACCATGTTCTTTTCCTCCAATTTTCTTCGTTTGATCTCATTTCACTGACAACAATATTTCTCCTTCTTCCTATTAGGAGAAAACAATATATGTCACATTTTAAATTTTGAAGTGCAACATTTTACACTACTAATAATTTAAGGGTAACATAGATAATTAATATATCTGTAAGAGACATAAATTACAATTTTTAAACAGGGTTGTAATATAAAACATAAGAATTAAATTGATACTAGTTGAAAGTTTAGAGGTGTTTGATGTAATATGTAGTAAAATTGGAGGACCAAATGTTACTGAATAAAATAGCAAGATGTCTTTCCGAGCGGCTAGCGATATACTGACACAATCGCAAATAAAATTTGCGACGCCGACGAATTCGATGAACGTAATTGAAAATTGCATCGCGAAATTGTGTCCAAAATCTACATCGTAGAATTCTCTACTGAGCATGGGTTCCATAGATGCGCCCACTCGAGCCGAGAACGGTTCTTCGAGTCCACTTCTCAACGGCACCGTCAATGGCCAGGTCGCCGGAAACGGAGCAGTCCAGTCCCTGGCTGTGGAATCCAACGGAGGAGCCTCGACGGAGAGCGATGCGTTGAAAAGGCGGAAGGCCAGCATGCTACCTCTTGAAGTAGGCACGCGCGTGATGTGCCGCTGGCGAGACTCCAAGTACCACCCTGTAAAAGTCATCGAACGCCGGAAAGTGTGCGCCGTGGGGAGCAATGAGTACGAGTACTACGTTCACTACACAGAGTGTAAGCAATTTGTCAAGGCTTCCTTCGTAGCTCTTACTATTTTCCCTCTCTTTCCGTTTGAAATTTAGGGCTTTTTGTTCCTCAGTAATTTGGTTCGTAATAGGGGGAATTTTGCCGGTGGAAACAATGTCTAGGAGTACTACGTTAATTACACAGACTTTAAGCTATTTGTTAAGGCTTTCTTGTTATTTTTCCCTCTCTTTACATTTGATAATTTAGAAAATTAGGGTTTTTTCCCCCTTCCACTATAATTTGGTCTATAATGGTGTAGGTCATGTGTAATTGCTTGTGAATGAGATTGCAGCTCTCTATCTCAGCTTAGGGTTTTCACTGAGAAGTGGTTTTGATATTGATTTTGGTGCAATTTGTTTGCTTTTGCTTTCTCTTTTGTGACTTTAGCTGTTGTTCTTGAAATTTATTCATTGTCAAACAAGAATTGCTTTAAATGAGTACTGCTTATTTTGATAACTCAATCCATTTCTTCTCTGGACAGGGTAATATTATTTACTTGGATTTGATTTTATAGGTTTGTTGGTCATTAATTAGATGGCTTGAGAAACTATTGATTGCTTGGTTTTGATTTAATTCTCAACTGCTGCAGGTTGTTCACACTTAGTGACAGCAGGAATCATACCATTTATAGGCTCTCAATTGAAATGAATGTTTATGCTATTTATAGACGCTCAAGTGAAATGAATGTTTACGCTATTCACAGCCCTCCTCCCTGAAGCAGCCCCAGCTATAATATTATTTTGCTTTTAGTTACGATGCTATTTGTTGTATAGCCATATACAGATACTCTTTAGTCGTGTAGCACCTACCTTAAGTGAGATAAATTTGATGGGGCAAGACTCAAGAGTTATGTTAAAGTACCATTCAAGTAATTTCCCACTCATGAGGTGTCATTTTATAGATTTTGAAGCTGTTTATGACTCTGTGGTGTCATGTTTGGGAAAGGGGCTAATATGTTAAGTCATGTATATAAATAATATAGTAGGGTGCTGAAGACTAGGTCTGCTCTTCCAATAGTAAAGTTGTTTAATTTATTTATTATTGTTCACTATGCAAGATACTTTGGTGTTGGTAAGGTAGTTAGACATATGGTACATGCCTACTTGGATGCTAGAGCTTTGATTGCTGTCTAACAGATTGTGAAGGAAAGTTTATTGAGTGAAATGAGGGCTTGGCAGGATTTAATAGGAATGTTTTAGTTCAGAACTCAAACATATTTTTTGTTTGTTGCACTATGGCTTTGAGGATCACATGCTATGCTGTACATCCATTTGGAACTCTGATCATTTTTTCTGCCTGGGTTTTTCCTGTCATCTCTTTAGTGCTGAAGTCATGGCATCCAGTGCTCTCCAACAGTCTCTGAAATCTTTTGTTTGTTTGTTTGTTTTGTTTTTTTTTTGTTTTTTTTTTTTGTTTTTTTTTGTTTTTTTTTTTTTTTTTTGTTTTTTTTGGTTAGGGATCGTTGGTTTAGAGCTTGAATAAAGTGCTTGCTGGGTGTTATTTGATTTTGTAGCTCAAAATATTTAGTTGTTTGATGCACAGTGGCATTAAGCTGCATCTGCATGACAGCATCAAAATTTCCCAGTTTCCTCCTTTCCTGTTAGTCTCCTTCAATTGTAGTGATTTTTAACAGAGATTTTGTTTCTTGATCTGCTTAATTACTTGAATTGTAAATTGTAAATGTGAGCTTCAACTAGATTTTCTTTGTATCTATCTTTCTTGTATATTTTCTCTAAATTCTTCTTTTTTAGCTTTGGGGTTAAGTTTAAGTAGTGCTAATGATTGTAATTAGGGGGTTAGAGTCTTTTGGAGTATCATTTGGGAAATTTGTTCTCACTGAAGAGTGAAGACAATGAATTAATCTGATTAAATCTAGCCATGCTTCTCAATGCCTGGAAATTGACCTGCTTTACAGATTGAGACTGTATCATTTATCAATGTCCTTGTATTCTCATGTTGTGAACTAACAATGGCTGATTCATTTAAGTAACAATTAGCTTTATTCTTGATACACTTGTTCACTGTGTCTGAACAATGCATTTAAAGTATATAATTTCTTGCATTTTTGCCTTGGATCTTGTTTTGAGGAACAATTGATTTTGAGCTGGTTAATTGTTTTTTTCTCCATGTTAAAAGGTGATGAGTCCCAAGAATATTACTTATTGCTTATAAGAGAGTTTTAAATTCACTTTAAAGAATATAAAGTTTTTGATTTTTTGAACCTGAGTTGTTTGCCCCTTTTTCCCCCTTTGCAGTCAACAGGAGACTTGATGAATGGGTTAAACTTGAGCAACTTGATCTGGAATCAGTGGAGACTGTTGTGGATGAGAAGGTGGAGGACAAGGTGATCTTTGGTAATCCTTTTTTGTTAGTTTGCCTAATGGCCTTAGCCCCCACTCCCCATTTGTCTTGCTCCTTGCCCAGAAAAATAAGAAATAAAAATGAAAGAGGTAATTAACTGAAAATTGATATATGGTCTAATGTAAAGAATTGCCTTCCATTATGGTGCACTGGAAACTGATTTTCAGATGACAGGGTAAGCCTCCTGTTAATAATTTATGATCTCCATTTCTTTCACAATCCTTCTTCAGATTTTCATACCTAATCTTTTCAGGTGACAAGCTTGAAAATGACACGCCATCAAAAGCGTAAGATTGATGAGACGCATGTGGAGGTAGTTTGCTATTTTAATCCTGTTAGTTTGAACTGCTATTGCCATTGTTGTGGTTCTTGCTTTTCTTATCATTATAATACATCTCTTCCACTGGTGTGATTACTAAGTGCTTCTATGTGAACTTAATTGCCTTTATTAGGTGATTTCTAAGCAAAACCAAATAATGGAGATACCTAATTTTAGTTGAATGTGAATCATTTTCTACTATTACTCTGTGCTTGTACATAAAATTAATTACCTTTACTTGGTGATCTGTAAGCAAACTCTATACATTCAAATGATATGTATTACCTAATTTTTTTGGCAAAAATGTGAACCAACTTTACGCTTTAGAGCATAACACTCTCCCACTAAAAAAAAAGGAATGAGAGAGTGAAAGACAAGGAATAGAATTCAACTAAATAGGGCAGTTTTACCGTAAACCCAATCTAATTGATGCAAAAAGCCTACTGTAGAGTTGTTTACTAGCTAGTTGAGGCTTTTCCTTTATTTCATTTTAGCCCTCTATTATTTTGTTTGAAAACTTTCACAAGAACAGAGTTGCTTTACAATTAAAAGAGACTGATTATTAGGGGCAAGCGCTGAGGGCGCTGTAAATTAAACAAGCTTCTTTGTGAACAAGCTCAAGTCAACTTGTTTAACAGTCTAACTTGACTCGAATTACATAAATGAGTGTGGTTAGATAGTAAAAGTTTGTTTAGACGTTTAGTAAATTTGCTTGAATAATGCTACCAAGAATTTCGTATAAATTTATTTATTAATACATTGTATTATAAAAATATAATAATATACAAAAGGTAACGGAGTAATTGATAACACAGTAAAAATCATATATGTTCGAAATTTAGAAGTATCAAATGTGCCACCTAAGGTCAAGCGAATAGTGGGAATGTGTCATCTTATTGGAAAACACTCCAATGAGGTACCCTAAAGTGGCAAAAAGTGCAATTGGGTTCTAAATGTTACCTATTCAGTAGGTTACTGCTAATTTGATGATGACTAAGCGTTCATGTGTACTATTTTTCAAACATGGCAATGAATTGAATAACTTTAAAGATTTTTTTTTTTTTTTTTTTTTTTTTTTTTTTTTTTAATGCTAGACAAAGACAACCGTCTGTCTTACATTACGAAGACTGCCTGGTGGTCATCTTCGTTTAGCCTCTATTTTCCAGACAAAGACAGCGCTGAGCTTTCTCTGGTGTTATTATGGCTGTCTTGAAGAGAGCCATGTTTGCCAAAAATTAAAAAAAAAAAATTGGACAGTCCTGTCTTGAAGAGTCACGGGATTGACTTTGTCTGGTGATAAAATTATCAGACGAAAAGAGACCGGTGATACTTCTGGACAGCCATGGCTGTCCAATTATTTATTTATTTTTTATTTATTTTTTATAATTATTATTTTTGCAGCCATCCCTCTCCTTTAGTAACATTGGAGAAGATAGCTCAATGACTGTCTCCATTTGGAATTATTTTATTTTTATTTTTATTTTTAAAATTTTGTTTAAGGTTAGCTAATTTGTCGCCACATTTTAAAAATTGTACACATGGATTCTTATTCAACACAAATTAGCGGTAACCCATTGAATAGGTAACATTAGTAACCAATTGAGCTATTTTGCCAGTTTAGGGTACCTCATTGGAGGTTATATATATAGCTAGGGACCTAATTACACTATTTGCTCGACTAAGGGGCTGATTTGACACTTTCTCTGTTAAATTTTAATTGAAAATTAAAACAAAAACACTTTATTTGTCTACTCAAGGTCAAGTTCACTCAGCTAAATAAGCAGCTAAAGCAAGCCAAGCTTAGGCACCAATGAGTATTTGTTGATTGAATGAACTGACCTCAGCTTGACTTGATTGTTTGTTTGAATGAGCTTATCTTAAACACTTCTACTTGCCTTAGCTATTAGAGAAGCTAGTCTTTCTCCATTGTAGTTGTGTTTGTGCTTCTGGCCTCTCTGTTCTGTTCATGCATTATGCATGTGCAAATTGGAGTAGCTTATATAAATTACTTCAATAAACAAAACACGTGTTACTTAAAGATGATTGCCTGAGGATTTGGTTATCAAGTTCTAGTGGAATGCTGTTATAGCTTTTTTCTCCATTGCCAGTTTGTGCTGTATAAGATAGGTGAAACTTTTGGCTGTATAAGCAAAGGTGCTATTTTGGTTTTTGCAGGGTCATGAAGAACTTGATGCTGCTAGCCTGCGAGAACATGAAGAGTTCACAAAGGTTAAGAACATTGCAACAATTGAACTTGGACGATATGAGATTGAGACATGGTATTTCTCCCCATTTCCACCAGAATACAATGATTGTACAAAGCTTTTCTTCTGCGAATTTTGTCTCAATTTCATGAAGCGTAAAGAACAACTTCAGAGACATATGGTGAGCTTTGCCTCAAAATTTTCTCCCAACTATTTATTCCTTTAATTGGCAATTCCCCTCCGACTGCAACTAAGTTTTGTTGGTGAAGAATGTTATTGCTATCCAGTTCATAAATAGTAATTTGTACTTGTATGCTTAGAATCTCAAAATTCTTTCCAAAAGCTATGGCTTTCTTTCATGTGTCATCTTCTCAATATGCACACCTGTATATTTAACATATTTACTCACATGCATATAGTTATTGTTAAGCTTGCTGGTAAACATAGAAAGTGAATCTGCACCACAATATCTTAAAGAATTCATTATAGAGAATTCATTAATGCCACCTAACCTCTCTTTCTGTGGATACTAGTCCCTCTATTCCCTTGCTCTTTTAGAATATGTAATATGTTTAGCTATCATAAATTCTATACAAGCATCAAGTTTAAGATTGTCAACCTGCTATGCATTTCATTGTGAACTAAATTGATCTGTCAACCTGCTATGCATTTCATTATTAGCTAAATTGATCTTTTGGGAATGAGAAGAGGTGTGGGTAGTTGTTTTTATTCTTTCTGATTGAAGTTTGTATAGTATAGTTTAAAATGCAATAGGCATTCATTTGCTATTTTATTGATTTCTTCTCTTGGAATGAAGCATATTGATGTTACCTTGAATTTTTTCTGCTGTGTAGAGGAAGTGTGATCTTAAGCATCCCCCTGGTGATGAGATTTATCGAAGTGGTACCCTGTCAATGTTTGAGGTGTGTTTTCATGAACTTTCATGCTTTTGGTTTACTAGAACTTTACTCTCTAACCTACTAATGAGGAACTCAATTGTACATTGTATCCATAGCTTTCCTGCTGCTGTGTTTTATTTTATTTTATTTTAATATATAGATTTTTCTTTATACTTTATGATGTAAAAACACTTTATTTGCCCTGGTGTTTTGTTTTCATGGGTCAATTAATATGTGTGTGGCTCTGATTAGGACATCTTAATGCGACTTAATTATGTTCTGACATTGGAATGCGCTCAACAGGTTGATGGCAAAAAGAATAAAGTTTATGGACAGAATCTTTGCTATCTGGCAAAGTTATTTCTTGACCACAAGACACTTTACTATGATGTTGACCTGTTCCTGTTTTATGTTCTTTGTGAATGTGATGATCGAGGGTGCCATATGGTTGGCTATTTTTCTAAGGTAAACCACTCATTCCCAAGATTTCTCTCTGCTGTTGAATTGCATCTTGTGACTATTGTAATTTGTGTCCTTTGAAGGTCATGTTAAGCTAATCCTAGGTTTGCTGCTTGTGATTTGATTAAAAAGGGCAATCTTTTATTGTGAATTGAAACTAGTTATAATTACTTTAGGCAAATACGATCTGTGTTTCCTTGTGGCACATTGATCATATAATTTTCTGTGGAGACAAGTTGGAGTAGAAGGTGCTCAAAGTATGCAGAATAGCATCACAAAATAATGACATTGTGCCACATATGGAACTTTGGCAATTTTAGTTTAAAAACAAGGCGTCCTACTCTGAGTGCAAGTCTAGTATTGGTGAGCAAGAGAAGTCCCTGGGTGAACAAACCACATTCATGGGCTTTATGTGTCTGTGGTTCTGAGTCTTCTAACTGGGCACCCCAATTTCATATTCTATCCTTTAGTAAAAAGTAAAAACGATAACCATCCTTGCTTTTACACTTACACACTGCAATACCTTTTGTGAAACATTCTCATACGTTGTAACTGATTATAACATTAACCTATCAAGAGGGTGGCCTACAGTTATCAGGTTTAGGTTAACATAATTGCCAAGTCGTGTTAAGAGGAGGGTTTATAAGAATGCTCATCCAACTGAACTGGTTTAGTCTGATATTGGGCTTCCAAAAGATCTATACTAGTTCTTTCATCTCTTCAGGTCCTGAGGATAGGGATGTCAAATGGGATAGCCCGCTGGGTTTTGGGCTAGCCCTACAGGGTTGGTGGACTTGTTGACTTGGGCTAAATGGTTTTTTTATTTTTTATTTTTGAGTTGGGTTGGCCCTAACCCTAAACAACAGGTTGTTGGGCTAATCCAACGGGCTAAATCAATAAACAAAATTTTTATTACAAATAGAGTAGGTTCATAACTATATATATATATATATATATATATATATATATATATATATATATATATATATATATATATATATATATATATATATATAGTGTGTGTGTGTGTGTGTGTGTGTATATATATATATATATATATATATATATATATATATATATATATATATATATATATATATATATATATATATATAGTGTGTGTGTGTACAGTGTGTGTATATATATATATTGTGTATATATAGTGTGTGTGTGTAGTGTGTGTGTGTGTATATATATATATATATATATATATATATATATAGTGTGTGTGTGTGTATATATATATACTGTATATATATATACACACTATATATATATAGTGTCTGTGTGTACAGTATGTGTAAATATAGTGTGTATATATATAGTGTGTGTGTACAGTGTGTGTATTTATATAGTGTGTAGTGTGTGTGTGTGTGTGTGTGTGTGTGTATATATATATATATATATATATATATATAGGGTGTGTGTGTGTGTGTGTGTACAGTGTGTATATATATAGTGTGTGTGTGCGCGCGCGTGTATAGTGTGTGTGTAGTGTATATATAATGTGTGTAGTGTATAAAAGTACATTATTTTATATATACTATCAAATAATGTACCTTCAATACACAAATAATGTACATTTATTATATTAAAAATGTACCCTATATTCATGGTCCACACAAGTTGTATGGACTATGGTCCATCCAATAATGATTGGATATTACACGGGCCAGCTCAACAATCCATGAGCTGGCCCAACTCAATCCAGTAACCCGATAGGGCCAACCCAATGAGCTTACATTTTTATTGGATTGATCTTTTTGGATTTTAGCCCTGCAATTTTTAGGGCTTATTGGGCCAGCTCATTGGTTCAGGGCTAAATTGACATCCCTACCTGAGGATACTGAACTATGAGCCCTGAACAGGCTCGGATTGGTATAGACAAACCCAAGTTTTCTTAAGGGTAGAGTTCTGTTGTTGCCAATACTTTTAGGTCAGATTATAAGTCTGTATTTTGAATTTTGGCCAAATAAGTGCCATTGGCAAAGCCCAGATCTGTCGTTGGGTTTATTCTTATAGTATTCTTCTACGTTCTCTATGTGTAAAAATCACCTAATAGAGGAAGTTGCATTTGAATTTCCTAAAATATGTATACCTCTCTTTTTGAAGTGAAGTTTCATCTCTTTTTGGGTCAAGCATGGTATTTAGTCATGGATAATGTCGAAACTTGGTCATTGTTCATTTGATGCCAACTAATAACATCTTGTGAATTAAAATGCCAGACCTAGTTGATTTGACTATTTTTTCTCCTAACTTCAACCAATGGAATTAGTAAAATGGTTAATCAGATTTGCTTTATGAGAATAGAGAATACAATAATAGTATCATCTTTATCTCTGAGCATGGTGGTGCTAAAACGAAATACGAATAGTGGAATATTAGATATACTTTAAGGGACTGGTGACCTATTAGCTATTATAATGAAGAAGATAAGATTTTACTCATTACTTGTTTGATGTTTCAGGAAAAACATTCGGAAGAATCTTACAATTTGGCCTGTATCCTGACTCTTCCACCTTATCAGAGAAAAGGCTATGGGAAATTCCTAATTGCATTTTGTAAGCACTTGAGATTCTTCAGTTTCTGTTGCATTCTCATTTCCTCTGTTTTTATATGGAGGCTTCTAGCCTCAGTATCCTGTGGTATATTCAGACTACCACCCACATATACACACACAAAGGTCTAGTAGGATATTATATCCTACTATCATTTCCACTTACTGAGAGCACTTTTTCTTCCTTTTCTTGGGTGTGGTAGCATGAAAGGCATGAATATCCCATTAAGTAGATGCAGAAAATTTATGTTATGGGCTTCTAATCCTATATTCAGTCCTTAAGAGTTAAACCAGCTTTTAGAATTTCTTAAAACATATGTAATGATTACATGCATACTGTTTTTCGCTAAGCTCTAAAGTTCAAATCTCTATTGCCTTTTTTTTATTCTTAGTTCTTGTGTCAAACCAAACTCAGGCATTCACTTTGTGGTGACCTCAGGGATATCGGGGCGTATTGAATTAATGGATCTAAAAGGGTGTGTTTGTCTCAGGCTATATGCTTGGGAATGTCACATTACCTTAGGAAATGTTATTGCTCTAGTTTGGTTCCCGGGAATGATAGTTTTTATAGTTCATTTTTTAGGTCAGATTCCTGGAAATTTCATTTCTCCCAAATTCTTAGGTATTGTGAGATTCCCAGGAATGTGATAATTTGAATAAAATGCACCCTAATAGCAAAGCCTTCTTTAAGTCCAAAAACATATCTATGAATAGTTTCAAGTGCATTGCTTTACCTATCTGAAATTGGAATTTCCTTTTGGAGATGGCTGGGCTAGGGAATATGAAAGCGTTGATTTGATGTCTTAATCTGGAAAAATTCCTCAGCATGGTTTAAGGACAAGAATCCTACTTTGTACTGTTTGAAATTGGAGCTGGCTTCTTTACCTCTCTCCCCGTTTCTTCCATTTGCTTGTTCTTCCAATTATGATTTAGGCGATAATCAGTACGCTTATGTTTTTTGTATTATGGAAGTAATTTATTTCTTATACTTTGTGCAGCATATGAACTTTCTAAGAAAGAAGGTAAAGTGGGCACTCCAGAAAGACCTCTTTCTGACTTAGGTATGCTAAGCTACCGGGGTTATTGGACTCGTGTTTTACTAGATATATTGAAAAAGCACAAGGGCAACATTTCTATCAAGGTTAGTCTCTGGATGCCTACTGTAATTATCATAGTAGTAAGAACCAATTCTTTCTTATCTGCAAGCTGGCAATGTGCTTCATGTCTTTAGTATCTTAATATGTTTGTTCAACTCATGAACAATTCACTGAAAATAATTTTCAAGACAATCAACATGTTACTTTGCTTGGTACTTACAGAGGTGCGAACACCTGTTTCTGCACTGGCAGTGTATGTGAACCGAAAATGATATTTACTTGCTTCATTTCTGATTCTCTTATTGTTGATACTATGACCCTTGGATTAAATATACTCCGTAATATTTAAGGGGTCTCACATGAACAGTCCTAACAACTCCACCAGTTAACGGCTGCCTAGAAGAAGAATGGGTATTGAAGTAGTGTTACCCAAAATACTAATAATACACAAAATGATTGATTTGCAGGAGCTGAGTGATATGACTGCAATCAAGGCAGAAGACATTCTAAGCACCCTTCAGGCCTTGGAGCTAATTCAGTACCGGAAAGGGCAACATGTCATCTGTGCTGATCCCAAGGTGTTGGATCGTCATCTAAAAGCTGCTGGCCGAGGTGGTCTGGAAGTGGATGTTAGCAAATTGATATGGACTCCTTACAAGGAGCAAAGCTAATTTTAAACTACCTTTCATCCTTTTACAGCTCCCTCTCTCCCTCCCTTGCCCACCAAGGTGGGATATGTACAAAAAATCCAGGTAATTAACATTTGGTCTTTACTCTTTAGGTCAACAACAATGGTAGGTTTAACAGAATGCCAATGCCTTGTACCAAAGATATACGCCGTGTACTGTATGTAATGCTTGACTATGGTATATATTCTGTTGAATGATTAACATGTCATTTTTTTCTTGAGTGACGTGAGAAACTCGCAGCCACTACCTGAGGGTCGGTGTTTACTAGGTAAAATGTAATTTTTAATTGCGTAAGTTGTGGCAGGCAGCACACTTTTTCCCTGTGTTGGTGAATAAGATAGGATTGAATACCTTTTATCTTTTTAATTATTCATGCAGAAGCCTAAATTATGTATTTTGCTTGGAGTTGCGGTTTGAATGCCTAATTAAGTAAAAAAAAGGCTGCTCTCCCTCTTGAATTTGTAAATGTGCTTTAACAATCATCACCATTCTGCTTGAAAAACAATTTCGTTTCAGATGCCTGTATGGGCTGATCAATTAGTTGCTGAGGTAAGAGATTAATGATTGAGTTTTACCAGTGGCAGTGTGGGAACAACTATCAAAATGAAGGGTATAGGTTCTTTGTATGTAGTGAGTAAAAATTTAACCTTTGGTGGTTAGTTAAGTTATTGCGATTTTTCACATACAAATGGTTGTGAATGCTTCGGGTGGCGATCCCACCTTTGTCACAAGAATTTCGTTTTAGATGTTTTAAATTAAAACTTCCAAGGGAAACAAGCAACAAAATAGAGTGATGCAAAAATTACTTGTATCCACCAAAAAAAAAAAAAAATTACTTGTATCTCTGGTAATAATTTAATACAATCAAACCTTTATAATATAAAAACTAATTGAATAAAACATCAATTAAGTCATTGGTAACTCCAAATAGCCATTGAATCCAGAAAAAAGAAGAATTATTATAGAGTAGTAGGAGGGATGATTTGATTGTTGTTGGGTAAATAGTTAGTATAATGAATCTCCAAAGTCTTCAAGGAAGCCCCACTACCAGATCTTCTACTCCATAAACTCTTCACTTGGCCACCCGGTGGTGGTTGCTTCACCACCGGCAACGGCGGATCTAACTCGCTAATTACCTTCTTCACTTCTCTTGCAGTACTCCTATTCCTCCTCATCAACAACTCCCTGCTGCAACTATATTCACCGTCTCCGGCGTTTAGATTCTTTCCGGAGAAAAAGCTGTTGAGCTTTGTGTGGTTTTTGGAGGAGGAGATGAACAAGCCAGCGTGGATCTTGCTGTTTCGTCTCTTCACTTGGCCTATACAGCTCACTTTTGGGGAAGAAGGATTATCCTTGGAGATGGAAGAAGGCGAGCGGTCTTTGCATTGCTTTACTACTTTATTAACATCTTTGATGGAAAGCCGACAGAGCATCGGAAGGAGGAAGGTGGTTCTTTGGTGGAAGCTGCTATAGCGGCGGCGGTAGAGCTGCTGAGGATTATTATTGCATTTGTATTCATCAACCATTTTGATCTCTTGAGATTTGAGATAGATATAGGGATTAAAAAACTTGGCTCTACCTTGGATCGGAGCTGAGCCTTGTGAATTGGAATGGGTTGGGTGTGTATATATATGTATACACATACAATATGTAAAGAAAGAAAATTTTATATTAGCTAGCTAGATAGGTATCTTCTTTGTGTCTTCATGGGACAGTGGGGGTTAAAAAGAACGGGATTATATTAATGAATGATTATAATATATGTGAACAAACTTGAGGCATGAGATCAGGTTAATAACAAAATGTCAAGTCTTTCTTCAAATTTAAGTCTACAATTCTCTTCTAAGTGTTTGTGAGGGAGAAATATATATACGGAGTATTGTTGTGTGTGTTGTATACAGTTTGAAAGTCAAGAGTTTGATATCACCTCTGATTGAAATTTGACCATCTTTTGGCCTCTATAAAATAAAAATGAATTTATTTTAGACCATTGCTTTGGAAATTAAGGGATATGAAGACGCCCCCGGAGGAGGGGACCACATGTTTGGAATCTTCTGCATGTTCTGTTCATGCCTAGAACCTACTTTAGCCCCTGCCCCCCTTGTGCACAAAACAATATAATCTTTTCACATGAAAATTTCATTATTAGTTAATGATATGATCTTTTATAACAAAAATTTATTTATTATATTGTACAAATTAAAGATGAGCTGGCCTGGTAGACTAGTTGATGGCGAGGAGGCGACTGAAATAGGAATGGGTCATGGGTGATTAACAAGAATAAGCATGAAATTTTTTTTGGACACTTAAGGAAAAATTGAGTTTGAGAAATGCGGTTGTGCTGAAAATCGCATTTTCCAAACTCGATTTTATTAAATGCCAACGTCAACTAAAACCGCGCATTTCTCAAATGCGACTGTAGTATATACCACAACCACATTTCCCAATGCGGTTGTAGTATAAAGCAAATCCGTATTTGGGAAATGCGTTTCTCGTATATGACTAACGTGACCGGTCACTGCTTAATATGCTGGTCACGTCAATCATATTTATTTTTGGTGGAATGGTGGTTCACATAGGGGAGTGAACTTGTAGCTGTGGATGGGTCATTTTCGGGATTGGCACGGAGCTCAAGAAGTTAACTTTTCATCTGTTTTTTTTTTTTTTTTTCTTCCTTTATACATATGATCGTTCTTCGAGCCCTGCTTCAAGGTTCAAGGGCTCCCCGTTCCTACCGTCCAAAACAGGCTTATGGGGTCTCTTTAAATGGTGATCAGGTGAGCTTTTACTTTGCATTTCAAATGAATAAAATACAGAAATCAGAATTTAGCTAGCCTTAATGATTCTCTGCTACTTTGAATTCTCATTTTTAAAGTTGACGTAATAGGGTTTAGGGTTTAGGAATTCATGGCAAATTACAAAGCTATTGGTTTTTCATGGAAAGAAATTTGTCAAACTCCAATCTTGTATGAGCATGTCAACATAGTGAAATAATTGGAGTTGAAGGAATGAGAAGAGGAGATGGGTGATGATTGGGGAATTTCTGGCAATAGAGACTCCATGAAGGGAGCCCTGTTGTTCAGCACAATGTATTATGGAGCTCAAACCCTCTGCAACAATAATGAAAAGATAAGGGGACAGGGGGTCACCCTGTCTCAGACCTCTTTGAGGCAAAATCGGCCCAATGTCAACCCCATCATTAAGGATAGAATATTTAACAGAAGTGATGGACTCAGAAATTAGATTAATCCACCTATCAGAAAAGCCCATACGAGCCATGATTTTCCATAAGAAGTTCCATTCCACTCTATCAAAAGCCTTGCTAATGTCTACCTTGAGGGCAACATAGCCAATTTTTCCTTGGTGCTTTCGTTTCAGATAGTGCTGGATTTCGTGGGCAACCATAATATTATTTGAAATGAGCCTGTTGGGAACGAAAGCACTTTGGTATTTCGCGATTAGACTGTCCAGGATGACTTTCAACCTATTCGCTAGAACCTTAGCCACAATTTTGTAGGCAAACATTGCAAAGTGAAATAGGCCTTAGGTCACCTACAGTTTCAGGTTTAGGCTTCTTAGGGATGAGGACAAATTGAGTGTCATTTAGGCCAATGGGTAGCTTGCCAGATGTGAGGAAGTGCTTGCAAAGGTCAGTAAGGTCATGCCCGAGAATATCCCAGTGAGCTTGGTAGAATCCCGGGTTTAAGCCATCAGGTCCAGGGGATTTCTCTGGGTGCATACTAACAACAGCAGAACGGACTTCCTCAAAGGTGACAGGCCAAAGAGAGCCATAGTTGCTTATCACCCATCTCCTCTTCGCAGATGACAACTACTTCTTCTTCAAAGCCGAGCCTACTGAAGCTATTGTCTTCAAATCCATTCTGGACTCCTATTCTGCTGCCTCAGGCCAGGTTATAAACCTTGACAAGTCAGCTCTTTTGTTCAACAAAAATGTTGTGGAGGCAGTTTGCATTCAGGTGGAAGATATTTTGGGTGTTAGGAGAGAAACTTCCAATGGGTTTTATCTTGGTCTACCTTCTACTGTGAGCATAAACAAAACTCAAATCTTGGACTTTATAAAAAACAGAATCATCTCTAGAGTGCAAAGTTGGGGTCACAAACTTCTATCTAGGGCTGTTAGAGAGATCCTCTTGAAGAATGTCATTCAAGCCATCCCTTGCTATGCTATGAGTGTTTTTCTACTTCCAAAGAACCTCATCAGGGATATTGAATGTGTTATGAATGCTTTTTGGTGGAAGGGTGAGGTTGGTGGAAGAAAAGGCATTCGTTGGAAATCATGGACATCCTTATGTGTTCCCAAACAATGGGGATGACTAGGCTTTAGAAGCCTCAGGGAATTCAATTTAGCACTTCTTTGCAAACAGGCCTGGATATTATCCTAACTCTTCTTTTCTTGAGTCTGTTAAAGGGCACAACCCGTCTTTTATTTGGAGCAACCTCTCTGAAACCAAGGAAATTATTCGTAAGAACACGCGCTGGAGAATTGGCAATGGCAACCAGACCGAGATTTGGAGCGATCAATGGCTCCCCGATAAGATCAATCCCAGAGTAATAACCAACCCTTTTCCTCTGATGCATAATGAAAAGGTCTCATCCCTCATCAATCCTCATTCCGGAGACTGGGACGCTTAGGTCATCAACGACATCTTTCATCCCAGAGATGCTAAGCTGATCCTTAGCATACCTCTACCTGTTCAAAACGTTGATGATAAACCTATCTGGGCTATGGAGGAAAAATGCACATTCTCTGTGAAGAGTGCCTATAAAGCTATCATGGGCGAGAGACCGGAGTTTGAAAAAACTACTTGGAGCTTAGTTTGGAATCTGCAAATTCACCCAAGGGCAAAAAACTTCATCTGGCAAGTTTGTACAAACTGCCTTCCCATTGCCGATCTACTACGATCAAGAAGAATTGATTGCCCCGCTATTTGCCAAGTCTGCCAATCAGCCAAGGAAAACACTTCTCACATTCTTGCTGGCTGCAAAATTGCTAAGGGTGCTTGGACTTACTTCAACAGCCACCTGAATACTGCAGAAGAACATAATCCATCAGATTGGTTCATCAAGATTACCAGGCAACTTCACAAAGACCAAATCTCCTCCTTCATCATGATCTGCTGGAGCTTGTGGTTAGCGCGTAATGAAAGAGTATGGAATCAGGTCTCAAACATTGGTAGGAACATTGTTGATAAAACCAAAGCTTTCCTTTTGGACTGGAATCGGGTTCATGCACAGCACTCAAACAAGCCTTCCAACTCTGCCATCACTCACTGGTCTAGACCTCCAGCTGGATTTCTCAAACTCAACATTGATGATGCTCTAAATCCAA